ATCAATGTTAGAGTGGTAAATAGTGCCCTTAGGAAAACTTATTAAAAAATTGACAAGATACCTATGGGATTTGTCTTTTTAATCATCAGTCATGATGATCACTCCTCTACCTAGTCAACAGACCTTGAACTACGCAATATGCTTATCGACATCATGAACAACAACTCCTAAATATGGCCCTGCAAACTCCTTCGCAGTTGGACCTCTAACACCCGTCCCTACCTCAGCTATAGAAGCTACCATTTGTGGGTAGAAGTCTGAGCTCGTAGAATTAAATGGCAGTGCATTAGCATACCAAAATATGCGAATCTTTTCTATTAATATACCTGTTGATGGAAATTTTATTTTATTTTGATGATATTGTGGCTTGTGGGGACCAAATCCAGAGGGTTCGCAGGTCATTGGTGGAACATCTATGAGTTTATGTCGTTGAGTAGTAGATGACCGACTATAAGAGGATGGGCGACTAGAGAAACTACACCTAAATCTACTAGATGTGGACCTAAGCAATGAAGGCCCCGCATCCTCCCCTACCTAGTACTACAGGTTCTTGAGGCTGACAGTTACTGGATACTCCATTCCTTCTCCTACACATATCTTGAATTTCTATTTGTCTATAATTCAGCTCTTGGAGACTGACGATCTTATTCTGTTTGCGCATCGAATTCTGCTTCTTGTTCCTCTTCCTCATCTATTGGATTTTCGTACCCCCTTCCTATTTCCTCTGCATCCCTTTCTCTCTGCAACTTTTTTCATTTTTTTTCTGTAATTAATTTTAACATTTGTTGTTTTACTTCCGATGGCACTTCTTTACAACTGATAATATTACCCTTTACCCAATCAAGGTATTCTTTTAGGCGGTAAATACCACCACCCATTTCTTTGTTACACAAATTACATCGAACTCTTTCTTTGTTATTCATTTTTGTGCCATACTGCCATGTCACATCTCTCCTCCTCATCTTATTACTTTCTTGTAAATTTTCCTGAACATAAAAGTTCATTAAAAAAATATTTATTTGGGAAGATCACTCTATCAAGGGGACTTTGTAAGAATGGCGAGATCACAACAAAGATTAATTTACATGTATATGAACAAGAAAAAAAGAAAAAAAAAGCAAAGCAATACTTAAGAATGCATAACCCTTGATTTACCCAAAGAAAATTGATAGGGGCCTTCTCCCCACTGATTTACACAAAGAAATAGTAGAGAAGTATGATTAGGTTGAGGTAGGAGTTTATGAGGGTTAGTCTTCTTCTATGTTACGGGACTTCAATTTTCCAACATATAAGCCCAGACATGAATTTATTCAACAGAGGTTAGGCGATTCTTGCCTCCTTATCAAGGACACTGCTGAAGCATTCTATGGCTAAGAATAAAGAGATTCCTGGGTGATAAGAATTTCCTTCTATTTTTTTCCTCTTTATGAAGACATTGTTGATATATGGTATATTTTATGGCTAGAAGAATAGAGAGCCGGTGAATAGGAATTTTCCTTCTTTTGTCTCCTTGTCAATGAGATTGTTGAAGTATTATTTGATATGAAAAATGAAATACGCAGTACTTGAGGTCAAACTCTGGTTACATTCATAGGGGCAGTCAACTCTAACATGACAAAAACAATAAAACACTGTATAAAGAACCAAACATTACTTTTAAGTCATGCACTCCAAACTTGACTTCTTTTTGTCAAAAAGTACCATAACTTGCATTACATTGTAACTTACCCCTAATGGTGAAAAATCAATTCAATAGACCATTGTATAAAGAACCAAAAAAAGCCATCACAAGCATCATAGATGAACTATGATAGTCCATCATCCAAATGAAAAGCAAGCATGAATTCTTCTACCTAAGAATTACCGTAGAAAATATATCAAATTTTGACAAAAATATATCGAATATCAACCAAAAATGCAATTCCAGATTTTCAATTATCACAAACACGTCAAAAATATAACAAAAAAATTATATATGTATTTTCCATGGAGTTTCCTGCAATAAAAAAATATATATGTATTTCTCCATGTATTTCTTCAATTTTTTTTCAGGAAACCCTAAATTCCTAAAATCGAGCTCCAAATCTTTGTTTTTGTTCTCAAATGCGTTCTTTTGTTGAATGCAATCAATAATATCAGTCAAATATTGTCTGAATAATCCTAAAAAAGGCTGTAAAATTAAGAAAAAACTAAAAAAATTGGGTTCGAACTTATCTTGTTTGCTTCAATCTCAAAATTGTGCTTCAAATCTCTCCATTTCAATGAAATCAGGAGTCTAGAAATATAAATATCTTTGTGATCATTAAAATCCTCCAATTTTTATCGAAAAAAAATGAAAAAGCACTTCAAAATCCTTAGATTGGCGGATTTTTCATAAAAAATTGAAGAACACCAAAAAACACACCTAAAAATTGCTAAAAACGAAATAATTTTGGAGTTTTTAATTCAACATAGAAGATTTGAAGGTATAGTACAATAATTGAGCGAAAAAAACAAAAAACTGCAGTAAAACGCATAAAAAAAAGGTTGCAAAAGGGCGGATCACGGGTTCTGCCCAAAATAACAGGCTCTGCTACAAATAACAAATGTTATTTTTAAGTGCGTCGTTTTAACGTTATATCGACTGAACTGGAGCGGTTATGAAAAAATCGGCCGGTTTTGGAAATATATCACCGGTTCGATATCGAACCGGCCGGTTTTTTTTGGAAGCTTCATTTTTTTAGTAGTACCGTAAAACCAGCCTTAACAGGAATCAGCACCCTGTCGGTACCGATCTAACCAGCCGGTTCCAGTTCTGACTGGTTGGTTTCGTGAACACTGCTCTAAACACTTTCTAACTAGTAATTATCAATCATCTAAAAGTAAAAAATTTATCTGTAGTTTGATTGCTACCACTGATCAACCCAAAAAGAAAATGAAGAAGCCAAATTCTATCATTTTAATATTTTTAATGTAAATTTTTTTGAAAACCTTAAATATATCAGACTTTAAAAAATAATCATAGTGGCCTTAAAATTTAAAAAATAATCATAGTTGCCTAAGAAGTACCTTAAAATCTATCACCTGTATTGGAACTTTTGAAAGTGATTTAAAACTTACTCAGACATTCACTAAAATATCTAAAGAAAGCCAAAAAATTTACAGACTTGACAAAATAAAAGACTATGAAAGGGAACTTTATATTTATTGCCTAACTTCCCAGTAAAATTCTGATAAATCCCCCACAAAAAAGACACAAATAATAATATCCTAAGAAAATTCTCGCCGATAACATCACAATGACAATAATTGTGACCAAATCTATGAAATTATCTAATTCAGTTGTTAAGAGTTTGATACTTGTGAGAAGGGGGCTGGGTTCGTGGTAGTAGTACCACCCGAGCCCTAGTTAAAGGCCACAACATCTATTCTCACTAACAGTTTCAAAAATTAACTCTTTCCACAACGGGTAGGGGCATAAGGCATGTGATTCCTACTAATCTACCCAAAAAACAGAGAGTTAATACTTGTGAGTTGGTTGAGTTTGTTAGTTAACACTCGTAAGTTGGTTGAGTTTGTTATATGAGAGTGGAAGACATTATGCTGGTAATTAAAAGTTAATATTTCTGAGTTGTTTGGTTTTGGATGGGTGAAATAAGCACAAAACAATAATATGCAAATGATAATTACTTCCTTTGAAGAGCAGAGAGGTAATGATTTCGCTGAAGAGCACAAAGGCAATTGTTATGTCATTCTAGTGAAGAGCACATATGCATTTATAAATGCACAAGAAAAATAATGTTCTTTTGTTTTAAAGCACATCTTAATGACGTTTTTCTCATGACAATGTTTTCCCCCATTAGAACGAATCTCAGTGTACATTGAGGATCTTGTGTGAATTTATCATTGGAATCCAACAAAACAGTGGAAAAAATGAATCCTTGATTGTTCGATGCACACCAATAATATGATCGAATAATACGACACTTGAATGAGAGGTTCGTTCCCCAGGTAAAGGAAAGAAACATGACTATTCACTGTGACTTCATGTTGAAGGAACATGCCTTCTGATTTTTATAAAAGCCCAAGAGTTTATATTGTAGCATAAACTCAAAGGCAAATTGTAGGAGAGGAGGTGATTTGAAAGTTGAGACTGACGAGATACATTTTGCCCGAACTTTTTTTTGTGTTCATATTTTTTGTTTTTATTTAGAGTACCTAGATTATGAAAAAATTGACATTAACTAGACTCCTTTTTTAGAGAAATGAATTCCATCACATGCTAGCTATTCATATATGAATTTTTCATTTTGGCCGTTTGGGCTTCTAGTATTTCTTATTCTAGAAGGTTTACAAATTACAAGATCATTTTTTGACAATCAGATCAAGGGTTTCAAAAGCTCTAAAATCTTTTTCCTTTTGGATGCATGGTGATCCACAGACGATGTGAAGATCTTCAGCTATGAAATTCAAAATACGGATATGTGTTTTGGGCACAAGACCATGCATATAAACTGCTCTTGCAGGTTCACCATTGCAGGGGCCTGGCTTTTTTTCTTTTTCCTTTTTAACAGGACAGGGGAAGAAATCGCAAATGCCTGCAACGCTTCCAGGAAGATGAAGATACTTGCCCTTCTGATCTAATAATATACTATCTGAAAAGAAAGAAGATGAAAGAACATGATCAAACCCAAATTAAAATAACAAACATCCATAAACTACGCAGCCATTAGGAATGGGCTTAAGGCTAGTAGTCGGGGTGGCGGGGTGCCAGAAAATGATGTCTTGAGTTCTATTTCTACCACGAGTAGGAAGGGCCATCCCCACTGCACTACCCAAAAAAATAAAATAAATACGCTACCATTTATAACAACTATTTAAGAATATTGAACTAGTTGCTTTGCTAATTCAGGCTGTTATGCCAGAGCGATCAGATATAAGCTACCATTGCAACCAATTCATACCTCATACTGCATATTTATCATTAATAGAAATGAAAATATTCCCTGCAAATGATAGAATTCAAAAGTCTCAAACCACTCAACTGGTATTTTATATTATGCATTATTCAAATAAATGAATACATTCACTGTGAAGAACAATATTCGAACCACTACTTGGTAAAACAATACACATACACATACACACACATACAATTTGGATTTCCACACTCTTGCTTCTACATTTCCAATCACTGGTCATCTGTCTCTGATGCATGCATGCATTCAGCATCTTATGATAATTGTGCATGAAAAAATACCTTGTACATGGAAAAAACAATCACAAAATGTTTCATGAACACCTCCATACGACAACAATTTAATGGCACCTAACAAATTGGGAAGAAGCCTCCTTTCATTCTTATACAAAAACAGTGCCCCAAGAACTCTTTTAAGTTTTGGATCGAGGTGTTCTGCTATCGTTTTTATGAGCATTTGAAGGCAATCTCTTTGGTGTTTTGTTTGTTGCATTGTCTTGCTTTGATGGAGTTGTTGATTTGTTAGGACTTGCAGCAGCACTTCTTTCGGCAATTCTCTTCTGGCGTTGAATTCGCAATTCTTCAACTCGCCTTCTTTCCTCTTCTTCCTGCTTGTCATTTTACAAGAGAAGATTTTTCATTTGGCAGTAATGATAAGCATGGAGACTAATATTCCCATAAAATTCCTTAGAAAATATTAGCAACAGTAACTTCAAGAACACACACACCCAATAGATATATATATAGAGAGAGAGAGGCAGGCACATCTCATTAATTTTCCTTGACAGTGACACTAGGATGATAATTGCTGATAAAGTTAGAGAATACTGGTTGATTTGTCATTCCAGCTCCATTTCACAAAATATATGAAGAGGTATGTTTAAGTACCTTCTCCCTTTTGCTCTTTTGAGGTATACTCCTGCTTGGATTTATTCCTTTCCTCGAAATTATTTCGGATTTTGTTTTCGGAAGCGTTCCACTAACAACTTTAGTCTTCGTTCCGTTCTTCGCTTGTCCCTGTTTCTTGTCACCGACACCGCTTCCATTAGGAGATACAGTATCCTTGATATTACCATCCTTTTGGGGACTGGACTGCTTCTCAGCGCCATTAACCAAAGTGTCCATACCAAAATATAATGCAGGAGTCCAAGACGAATCAACTGATTCAACCCCCGAGTCACGATGTCGCATAATATAGAGATCAGGTTCAGGGGAGGGTGATATTACTGGCTTATTGTCGCCTGCAACATTTGGTGCCCCAGTTTTCTGTTGGGCTGGTGAAGGCCCATCCACATCAAAGCTTATTTCTGTTTTCCACTCACTATTATTATTTCGCATATCTGCTGTATCTCTAGTTGGGACCACAAAGGAGTCATCGACCAATTCTCTCTCTTTTTTTGCAATGTAGTGACCACGATCCTCTAGTACAGAGAAATCTGTTATTTCCCCTCCATCCATGTATCTTTCTGAATGGGTGATAACAAATGAATCTTCACTTCTCTTATTCTTGGAAATTGGGGATTCTTTATTGAGGTCCATTAAACCATCTTGTACAACACCAGAAGAATTCATTCTCTGTGGTAAGAATAACATCTCACCATCAGCCATCCTTTTTATGCTCATAGATGTAGTGCGGTTCTTCTCAAATTCAAAATTATCCATATGACCATTGGCTTTGAATTCCTCACTTCTCCCAGTTAAAATGAAGTCATTTGGCTCCATAATACCACGCTTGCCTACTCCATCTTGTGAACCAGACTGCCTAGAAGAAAGCTCAGCCTGGAGGCCCTGGATATCTACTTGTCGTTCATTAACCTCATGTGTGTTTTTACTGAAGTCAGGCTCGCATGTATTAGAATGTGACTCTCGATCTTGCAGTAGAAGGTTTTGAAAGGCATGCCAATCTCCACTTTGGTTTTCCACGGCATGGGTTGTTCCATCTGAACCATTCATGATTGACATACTTCCATCAAATCCATCAGAAGAATGTTTTTTCCCACTTCCTTTCTTATGAACTTTTTGAGAAGATTTATGATGCTTCTCAAGAGAATTGAAGGCATCTTCTACATGCTGCTTGAGGTCGTCACCATCAATAACATCCTCCTCAGATGAATCTTCATCTGAATTGTCTTCCTTTTCTCCACCCCCTCTCCTTGATGTTATATAATTGATATTGCGGATAACCACCATTTTCGATGTCTTCTTACCAGGCTTCTTCATTTGGGATTCCCCCCTTGAAGCAGATTCTCTATCTAATGAGGTTTTATGCTCGGAATATGCATCAGATCCACTTTCTGGGCTAGAATCATCTTGGTCGCTACCCCCATCTTGAGGTCCTGAAGTAGATTCAGAGGTTTCGGGTCCCTCTTTACTCATAGACTTAGTTTTTATGCTTGAACGTTTCTTATGCTTTGCCCAAGAATCAAACTCTGGACCAATACCATGGTGGGGATCTTCCTTATATGGTGACCATGGTACATTTCCAGAAAATCCAGGATAATAACCAGGAATCATGTATCCTTGATATGGAGGTGCAGGTAAAACTGGACCCTGAAAGTTGTACATGTACTGTGGAGGCCCAGCTGGCGTTTGAAACTGTACATGGATATTGTCCCCTCCGGACTGGAACTGCCCGTTGATGGGGGGCCTGCTATCTGTACAATCAAAGATATTTCATCATATTGGTAGGAATTCATCCGAAGAGAAAACATACTATTATAGAATGGACTATGAAAACACCATAGTCCATCGGTCATAACATCCAATGAAATGATGAGTGGTGATGGAGATAGAGTGGGACCAACCAGCACAAGTCATGATCACCATAGTGGGTCACCCTTTTTCATCACTGTTCAATTCATTAGACAGTACAACTCAACAGGATTTGGTTTTTCCGTACTCTATATTCCATAGAATTATAGGACGTTTACTCAACTGAGAGCAAAGTTGGTAATACTGTACAATATCAGTACTACAATAATGCATACCTTGATTGGAACTTATATTCCCAACCGAATCAGCTACTCTTACAGCCTCTACAGAGTCACTGGCCTCAGATTCATTACCATTAATGCGTGGCAGGCCATTTTGACTAATAAGAGAGTCACTTGTAAGCACAACACCAGAATTTCCCATGTAAGGCATCTGTGACTGAACAGAAGCTGCCATTGCGACCAATTCTTCCATTGAGACACCAGAATCATGCTTTTTCTTGACTAACTCTATGAAGTTCATACATGCCTCCCTACATTGATATAGAATAATAAATCTATGTTTACTCACTGGAAAAGAAGTGATTGAATTGGAAACATTTTGTAGTTCGCAACACACAACTGTTAACAAATTGTGCCTGTCAATAAGTATCAACAATCCCTTCCAAGTAATCCCCACCAGAACAGTTTGCTTTGAATTTAGTCTATATCAGAGAATCTTACATGAATCACCCAAAGGAATGGGATCTGTTTATGATCAAATGCCATGATAAACTACATAAGATTTTGGGATCTCAATGAAAGCAATTATTTTAGACCAGCTTAGTGAAGAATGCAAATGGATAATGATAGTGAGAAGAAAGTATTACGAAACAAGAGTCATAAGAGTAGAGGAACCCTCACTTCATTCGGGAAGCTCCAAAGATGTTAGAAAATGAGATGAGATCATCTATGTTATCCATCTCAAATCCAGCAGCTAAAGCTTGTGCATATGCCATTGCTTGCTCTCTATGAAGTACAGCTTTTCTGGTCTCCAGAACTTGTAGAAGACGTTGTCTGCCGGAGAACAGATATGACAAGGAAGATAGAATAAATCAATTATATATTACTGAAACCATGACAACATTTCTTTCTTGAAGCAGAATAATTAAACAAATATGATCAATCCAAGGGAGATAGTTATTACTTGGATTCTCCTTGTTTAGGTTCACTGCCATTTGCCTCACTTGTTGCCTGGTGTTTGCTCATGCATATGTACATTACAAGAAAGTTCAAGGTAAGGCTCAAATGTTCCACTGTACTCTCTACCCCTCAACACAGAGTTCTTGAAATACCTTATTAAATGGAACGATCGCTTTCTCAGAGGCGGAATCAACCGTTACCTCATGGTCTGTTCGAATTACATTCAATTAGTTAAGATTCTTATGAATCCATCAAATGCAAAGGAGAACATGGTAAGATAATTGATACGTCACGTTTGGCATATGAAGTCTTTAAAAAGATGGCCAAAACTCATTGCAAAATCCAGTATTGAAGAAAGATCAACAAGAACAGCATTAACATGTACTGGATGGGTAGATTTTGAGGAATGGATACAATTTTTAAGTAGGATGACAACCAATACATAATTCTTTGTACAAATAATACACAAACTATAGCAGACAGAAATGAGTGGCCATTCACAAAAAGTACCCCATAATGTTTTGGCCTTCATTTCTCAAAGATAAGTCTTGACATCTACTGTGAAAACTGAGGTGTTGAATACAATTTGAAACATGAAAGAAAGAACTTAATCCTGGTTTATCCCTACTCACAAAGCACTGTATGAGCCATTTAATATGCAACTATCTAACCCTGTACATCAAATTATTCAAATGCATGTTCTAAGATTAGGCTCAGGAGCATTTAATTTTTTAATCACACAAATCATTTCCTAGAATTGGTCGAACTGTCGAAGAATTGGACTACTGCCTGCAAATCGACTTTACTCAACAAATTAAATGTTACAAGTGAATCACCAACTCATATGATACAAAAAATAAATTTAGAAGATCAAAGCTAACAAAAAGTGATTAAATCCAGATCTGCTCAGAACTGTTTAGCTACACAGTCATTCATTGCCCAATTATGTGGAAAAAATAAAAAGAACTGAATTCCAATCCTTAGAACTTTTGAAATTTGTCTACGCACAGGAGGTAAATTTGGAAGGTGATACGTCCAATTTTGAAAGATCCAAATTATATTTCTTGGAAAATTAACCACACAAATTAAAACAAGCTGTTCGAATAATACCTTCCACTGTTTGTCCAGCTCCCAAGGCTTTTGAGAGCGAGCCATCAACCTGAAATCCCAGACAACAAAGATAAGACTAACTCCCAAACTTCAATCAGAAAAGCAAGGAGAAACTAACCGAAGAGAGCATCTTCGACTGAGCCTCGATAGAATCTTCAATCTGAACAATCTCCTTTTCAATTGTCCACACTCTTTCTAGCACCTCTGGTGTGCTAACAAACCTGACAAATCTGCATAATTTTCACAGTAAGAAACAGAATTATCAGGAAAAACACATCATTGTCCACACCCAGTATAATTCACACTCTTCAAAGCCCCAAAATTCACCACACTGCAGAAGGCAATCGCAGATATACCTTTCCAATGTGCCTTTTGTAAACCAAGTCGCAACTCTCTCTGAGCCACTAGGAACCTGCAATCGAATTGAGTACCCCCCTTTCGAGATCTGCTCTCTAGCCGCTTCCAAATGCGTAACAAAGGGTTGAAACAAACCAGAGGCAAGCTTCTCCCCTTTGCCGCCTGAGAACACAACCAGATCGCACCTGCAAATTACAAACCCAAATTCAAGAGAATTATTTCTCGTTGCCTTAGAGAATTACTTTCACACCCAAAATTCAATAGAATTAGCCGCCAGACTGCAGAGGAAGCAAAACTCTAGAGCTTCAGCCATTGAACACACCTGGTTCTAGTTGGGGTAAGCTGAAAGACCACATAATCAAGAAGAGTGCTCGGATCCATGGCTTCAAGCTTGTCAATGGAGGAAACACAGTCGATTGAGCTCTCAAAATCTAGGGCATACCTCGAGGTTAGTTGCTCGACTGAAGAAGAAGCTCAATCCAGGCTATAGCATTTCCAAAATTACAATGTGGGTTTCCTTCATCTATAGCGACCAAGAGAGAGAAAGAGAAGTGGTGGTGGAACAGAGAGAAAAAGTGACAGAAAGCAGAGGAGTGAGAGTGGCGCCAGCCCATTGCTGATGCCGTGGACATGTGAGGCAGATGGGCCCCACGGGCCTGCCGACGCCCGTTTTAGCCGGGCTGGCTGGTTGGTGGATCAACTGATGACACATCACCTCCTACAAGAGAGAGAACGAATATGTAGAGAGAGAACATGGAGAGAAAAAAAAAGGACATGTCGAGAGAATATGGGAATGAGAATATTTTGATCGCAGAGAGAGATCATATAAATAGAGAACGGTAGCAACGGGCGGGGTGGCCCGGCCTGGTACACTTGGGCGGTCAAGAAAGCCTGCGAAGAAATGGGAGCACCCCGATATAGAAAAGAAAGTAACTTAAAATATTATTAATGATGATGACGACGATAATCACAGATACGGTGGTATTTATAATTTTAGACAAATAAATACCTATTTGGTAATGAACCCCCTCTAATAATGTCAGTAAGTAGTTTGCTCGAAAAAATAAAATAAAATTAAGACCTGATCAACAAAATGTGAACTAATAACTAAGCTTGGCCAGGTCAAGAGAGGCTTAATGCAGTTGGGCTCAGCCCAAACTTTACTTTTTTTATCAATTTTATTTTATTTTTATTTACTCCGGCTTGATCCTCTCTTAAGCCCGACCAGACCAGAACGGGCTGTAGGGTGCGTGACCCGTTGCCAGCCCAAAGAGGAGAGAGAATTTGGGGTAGAGAGATAAAGCAGAGGGCGTGGAGGAGAGAAAGACAGGGGTAGAGGAGAGAGAGATGCGGTGGCACATGATGGGGCCAGCAGGAGAGGCGCCGCCACAAGGGGGAAGAGAGAGAGTGTGTTGTTTGTATTCGATCGAATAATTTAGCAATCCCTTTGGAGTTTGGAGTATTAGATTGGCTCATGACTTTTTTAGACCACGACACCAACTGGCCACCCTGTTATCTAGCCATTCTGATCGTGACTTCCCACAATTATGTCTCTTTGATTATGTGTTTGTTTGATTGTGCTCTCATTGTAAGTACTTGTTTGATTATTAAGTAATGACTAGGTAAAAGCATGGTTATTTTGTCTGAGTTGGGGGTGAACTAAGCAACCAAATCACAGACATTATTCAATATTGTACGTTATTTTCTTCCTAATTTCATGAATCCTTCAAAGAGCATGTGATGGTTAATATTAGTGTTTTAAAACCGGACGATTTTCCATTGGGGATTGTTGATCATGGTGCGAATTCGTCAAACTATTTCACTGGCACTATGGTTCCTACCTAATTCTTTCTATATATATATACATATATATAGGAAAGGATTTGGTATGTCCACTCACGCATGGGGCTTCGTACGTCAACATTTGTGATTGTTTATCCTGATCCCAAGAGCCCTACAGCATTGAAAAGAAACCAACTGATGGCAGCGTCTCATCTCTCCCTCTCACGCGATGGGAACTCTCTCTCTCTCCATCTCCCGCCCACCTCTCTCTCTCTCTCTCTCTTAAGCTCTATAACTCATCTCTCTCCATCTATCTCTGGCGAGCTCCTCTCTCTCAAACCCTCGATGACCCTATCTCTCAAATCCTCGCTGGCCCACTGCTCCTCTCTTTCAATTTCTCTGAAACTCGCCCCTCTCTTTCAATCTCTCTTTTGACTACCCCTCTTAACCCCTCTCTATACACATCTCTCGTTGCCCATCCCTCTTGTTTTGGGATTTTGGTTGTTTTGGGTTTTGGAGCTCTGATACAGTTACAAAGCCAACTGAGGCTATGATAGCAGCCATGGCTAACGCAGAGGTCGATGATGATGTCTTGGGTTTCAACCCAACAACTCAAAAGCTCGAAACCGGAATGGCAAGAATTATGGGTAAAGAAGCAGCCCTTTTTGTGCCTTCTGGTACAATGACTAATCTCATTAGTGTTATGGTTCATTGTGAGATTAGAGGAAGTGAAGTGATTCTTGGAGATCAAAGCCATACTCATCTTTTAGATAATGGAGGGATTTCGACAATTGGATGTGCTCATTCAATAACAGTTCCGAGCAATTTGGATGGAACCATGGATATATCAATCTTATTGAAGTTGCAATCAGGGATCCTGTAGAGGCCATGTGTTATCTGACTACACCCAACTTTTCCAAGCAAATACCCCCATACAACATAGAATTTTTATGCACCCCACCCAACTTTTCCTAGCAAATACCCCATCCAAAAGTTTAATTTTTTTGGACGAAAACACCCTTCCCTCACATAACAAGTTATTTTCGTTGGAGAGGCCGGTCCAACATTTTGAACAGGGGGGCGATTATTTATGCTGGAATGGTCGGTCCGGCGTTTCATGGTGGCAGTTCAGTGTTTCATGGTGGCGGTCCGGCTATTATTTTTTGCTGGTATGGGCAGCCCGACATATTGAAGTTGCGTTCTGGCATTTTAAAGGGGCAATCCGATGTTTTGATATGGCGGTCCGGCATTTTGAAGGGGCGGTACGACATTTTGAAGTAGCGGTACGACGTTTTGAAGTGAGCAGTCCGGCATTGTACAAGTGCGGTCTGGCGTTTCCTTTCATTGGGATCTGACAACAATTTGTTACATGAGAAAAGGGTATTTTTGTCAAAAAAATTAACTTTTTGTATAGGGGGTATTTGCTAGGAAACATGAAGTTGCTAGAATTTGGGTGGGGTCAAGTGTGTAAAAAGTCCATTTTGTGGGGGATTTTGTAATTTTCCCTATTTTGGATCATAGTATAATGCATCCACACTTCTAGAAAACTATGTTTGTGGTATTTGTTTGACTCAAAATTTTGCATATACACTTTCTTCATCTCAATAATCAATCCTCCCCAAAAAAAAGTTCAATTTGAACCCTAGATATGGTCAAATTGAGTCCTCTCTAACAACAAATGTAGACCATTCATTTGGTGAATTTCAAGAAAAATCACTTTTTTTCTTTTCTAAAATTGTACATCTAACGATTATAAAGCCATCTAAAAAAATTGAAAAAGAAAAAAATCCTTCTAAGGATTAGATCTACGCATCTTATCAAAATGGACGAACTGTGTTAATTGGGCTAAAAAATACTTTCTAGATTGCGTTTTAAAATTTTTATTTTTTGTGATTGTTCATCAGAATGAAAAGAGTATATATTTTAAAAATTTGGATCAAACAAATGAATCTAACATGGTTTTTGAAGATTGTTGCATTATATTATTATGAAACCGATGCATGAAATCATTGCCCTATATATACTATGCAAATGGATACTATTAATAGCTTTAATAGCATCCAGATCTTTCCATAAGCCTACTATTCATTTTTAAACTTTCTAAAAGCCTACTATTCATTTTAATTGCTTTCCCAATTTTTTCAGGAAGGACTTGTTCACATGATCCCCATCAGAGAATTAGTTTTTAAACCAGTTAGGGAATTCTATAAATTCAGTTAATTTGAACTGAACATACCAACTATGCGAGGTCTTCGTGTTTTGATAGGAGCGTACTTCATCCCATGCT